CACTACCACAACAGCCACTACCACAACAGCCACTACCACAACAGTCACTACCACAACAGCCACTACCACAACAGCCACTACCACAACAGTCACTACCACAACAGCCACTACCATAACAGCCACTACCACAACATCCACTACCACAACATCAACTACCACAACAGCCACTACCACAACATCAACAACCATAACAGCCACTACCACAACAGCCACTACCACAACATCAACTACCACAACAGCCACCTACAGGGCGGCCCCACAAGGATGTTGCTGGCCCCTTGTTTCAACCAACACCTGGTCTTCTGCCCCTGATTGTGTGGTAACGTTGTAGTGAACTGTGTGATAATATCAGGGCTCTCTCTCTCTCTCTCTCTCTCTCTCTCTCTCTCTCTCTCTCTCTCTCTCTCTCTCTCTCTCTCTCTCTCTCTCTCTCTCTCTCTCTCTCTCTCTCTCTCTCTCTCTCTCTCTCTCTCTCTCTCTCTCTATATATATATATATATATATATATCTCTCTCTCTCTCTCTCTCTCTCTCTCTCTCTCTCTCTCTCTCTCTCTCTCTCTCTCTCTCTCTCTCTCTCTCCACGGTGTATGCAACAACACGCTGTAAACATCAATCATGCCATAAATGTGAAAATCAACCCAGAGTGTGGGGCTGCATCACTCTTCCTTACAAGGTCTTGTTGACTGGCTGGCTCTCTTGCTGAGTGGCTGACTGGTTCTCTTGCTGAGTGGCTGACTGGTTCTCTTGCTGAGTGGCTGACTGGCTCTCTTGCTGAGTGGTTGGCTGGCTCTCTTGCTGAGTGGCTGACTGGTTCTCTTGCTGAGTGGCTGACTGGCTCTCTTGCTGAGTGGTTGGCTGGCTCTCTTGCTGAGTGGCTGGCTGGCTCTCTTGCTGAGTGGTTGACTGGCTCTCTCGCTGAGTGGCTGGCTGGCTCTCTTGCTGAGTGGTTGGCTGGCTCTCTCGCTGAGTGGCTGGCTGGCTCTCTTGCTGAGTGGTTGACTGGCTCTCTCGCTGAGTGGCTGGCTGGCTCTCTTGCTGAGTGGTTGACTGGCTCTCTCGCTGACTGGCTGACTGGCTCTCTCACTGACTGGTTGACTGGCTCTCTCACTGACTGGCTGACTGGCTAACAGTATTGTGAATGGTAAATAATATACAAGATAACAATTCAGGAAACCGCAGAAGGCCTATTGGCCTATACCAGGCAGCCTATACGGAAGGAATATACTCATATTAAGATGCACCTTTTTGCTCAAATATAAATTACTGAATATTCTTAGGAGATTTCTACATAGGCCTAGTAAATGGGGGCGTGTGTGAGACGAGTCCGGTCACATAGACATGTATAGAGACAGTTACCGCGAGGGAATAGTACATATTTTGTACATACATATCGTGAACACATCGACCCTTTGCTCAAATGATGGGCTACAATAGTCGAGTGAATCCCACCAATCATAATTCACTCAGACGCGGCCCATCAGAGTGCGGGTGACGTCACTCACAAAGATCCTGCCTCAGTTGATTTTAAATCGATGTTTAATATTGTATTTATTTTGTGCTCTTCATTAAATCATAACACTTGAACAGAAAGATAACTGAACACGCAAACATTTTTTGGAACAGAGAAATGGATATTTAAACATATAAGCAAAAATTAAGAACATTTCTTCATTGATTGTCGTCAAGGTGGAGTTGTGTACTGAGCAAAGTGGTGAGATTATGTGTTGAACAGTACGTGCAGTGCCACCAGGGACGACACAGTGCCACCAGGGGCGACACAGTGCCACCAGGGGCGACGCAGTGCCACCAGGGACGACACAGTGCCATCAGGGACCACACAGTGCCACCAGGGACCACACAGTGCCACCAGGGACGACACAGTGCCACCCGCGACGACACAGTGCCAACATACTGAGGAACATTTACTCTGGCACTTGACAACAAGAACGTGGAAGATACAATTGTGAAGAAAATTGGAAGAGCATTAACAATGTCATTAAGAGTAAACTGATCTCTAATAGGTATTGTAGAGTATCCAGCGGGAGCGCGGGTTTACCTCTCCAGTCGTCGCATCAATGCTGAAAATGAGGCTTCATGTAAGTACTGATCTGATGTTCCCTCTTGTTTGGTAGTGGAGTTGAAGCCTATCAACCTTGGGAGAGTTATTACGACCCCAGACACACACAACACCTTATACTGACCAGTAGTAGAATAAGGTCACCTTATACTGACTGTCCAGCAAATACACTCTAATCCTGGACAAAAGACTAAGGTAAACTAAGGTAGGCTAAGGTAGACCAAACTCTCACAAGTCAAGCCTGGCCTCGGGCCGGGCTTGGGGAGTAGGACAACTCCCAGAACCCCATCAACCAGGTATCAACCAGGTACCCCTATGTACTCTCGAGGGCTGGAATCAATTTCAAAAAATAAGGATCACAAATCCTCCAGTAATATACGCTATAATGACCGGCCTTGCGTGCTATATGCCCAAGCTTACACCAATATATATATATACAATGATCGTCATTATGCTCTATAACTCTATCTCATGGCATGAAAAGCGTTCCTGTGCGTTTTTAAAAACCCATCCAACACATTCACCCATCTCTCAGAGAGTTGTATAGAGCTCTTAAGTGTTGCTTTGTATATGTAAGGGATGTGCACTCTTTACTAAGGATATTGTGAGTGTTTTAAGGTACTGCCTTAAAACACCTCCAAAATCCTGTTGTCAAGGGTTGCACAGGATTGTGAAATGTTGTGAAGTATAGTGCTGCAACGTGTTGTGCATTATGGCAACCTTGTGTGTATTATGGCAACTTGTTGTGTATTATGGCAACTTGTTGTGTATTATGGCAACATGGTGTGTATTATGGCAACTTGTTGTGTATTATGGCAACTTGTTGTGTATTATGGCAACATGGTGTGTATTATGGCAACTTGTTGTGTATTATGGCAACTTGTTGTGTATTATGGCAACATGGTGTGTATTATGGCAACTTGTTGTGTATTATGGCAACTTGTTGTGTATTATGGCAACGTGGTGTGTATTATGGCAACTTGTTGTGTATTATGGCAACTTGTGTATTATGGCAACATGGTGTGTATTATGGCAACTTGTTGTGTATTATGGCAACTTGTGTATTATGGCAACATGGTGTGTATTATGGCAACATGGTGTGTATTATGGCAACTTGTTGTGTATTATGGCAACTTGTTGTGTATTATGGCAACTTGTTGTGTATTATGGCAACGTGGTGTGTATTATGGCAACTTGTTGTGTATTATGGCAACTTGTTGTGTATTATGGCAACGTGGTGTGTATTATGGCAACTTGTGTATTATGGCAAATGGCAACGTGGTGTGTATTATGACAACTTGTGTATTATGGCAACGTGGTGTGTATTATGGCAACGTTGTGTGTATTATGGCAACGTGGTGTGTATTATGGCAACTTGTGTATTATGGCAACGTGTTGTGTATTATGGCAACGTGTTGTGTATTATGGCAACTTGTTGTGTATTATGGCAACGTTGTGTGTATTATGGCAACGTGGTGTGTATTATGGCAACGTGTTGTGTATTATGGCAACGTGGTGTGTATTATGGAAACTTGTGTATTATGGCAACGTGTTGTGTATTATGGCAACGTGTTGTGTATTATGGCAAACTTGTTGTGTATTATGGCAACTTGTTGTGACGAATGAGTTATGAGTGAATATGACGTGTTGTGAGGTGCTCTGAGACGTTATGAGTGTATGGGAAGTATAACCCGACCTGTAGAGGCCATAAACCCACCACTAGAGGCCATAAACCCACCTGTAGAGGCCATAAACCCACCTGTAGAGGTTATAAACCCACCAGTAGAGACCATAAACCCACCTGTAGAGGTCATAAACCCACCTGTAGAGGCTATAACCCACCTGTAGAGGCTATAAACCCACCTGTAGAGGCCATAAACCCACCTGTAGAGGCCATAAACCCACCTGTAGAGGTCATAAACCCACCTGTAGAGACCATAAACCCACCTGTAGAGGTCATAAACCCACCTGTAGAGACCATAAACCCACCAGTAGAGGCTATAAACCCACCTGTAGAGGCCATAAACCCACCTGTAGAGGCCATAAACCCACCTGTAGAGGTCATAAACCCACCTGTAGAGGCCATAAACCCACCTGTAGAGGCCATAAACCCACCTGTAGAGGTCATAAACCCACCTGTAGAGGCTATATACCGACGTGCAGGAGCTATTAAAACACTAAGGGTATGGATGAGCGAGAACGGTGTGCGGGTTGTGGACTCCTCGTCAGCACCTCCGAGTTCATGTCCTCGAGATTCCTGCAGGAGGCCGCGAGGTCACGTGACCCCGCCTCTCCACGTCCCCCCCTTGTCTGCCACACAATACCTCACACACCTCACAATACCTCACACACCTCCTTCAACCACACACCACACAATACCTCACACACCTCCTTCAACCACACACCACACAATACCTCACACACCTCCTTCAACCACACACCACACAATACCTCACACACCTCCCTCAACCACACACACCTCCTCTACCACACACACCTCCCTAAATCACACAATACCACACACACCTCCCTCAACCACACACACCTCCTCTACCACACACACACCTCCCTAAACCACACACACCTCCCTAAACCACACACACCTCCCTGAACCACACACACCTCCCTAAACCACACACACCTCCCTGAACCACACACACCTCCCTAAACCACACACACCTCCCTGAACCACACACACCTCCCTAAACCACACACACCTCCCTAAATCACACAACACCACACACACCTCCCTAAACCACACACCACACAATACCACACCTTAGGCGGGTGTGGTAGCTGAGCAGACAGCACGCAGGACTCGTAATTCTGTGGCCCGGGTTCGATTCCCGGACCAATCAGAAACAATTAGACAAAGTTTCTTTCACTCTGAATGCCCCTGTTACCTAGTAGTAAATAGGTACCTGGGAGTTAGACAGCTGTCACGGAGCTGCTTCCTGGGGATATCTGTGTGTGGAGAGATAAAAAAATAGTAGTTAGTAACAGTTGATTGACAGTTGAGAGGCGGGTCGTAAGAGCAAAGCTCAACCCTCGCAAGCACAACTAGGTGAATACAACTAGGTGAATACACCTCCTAAACCCCCCTCCCCTCTCTCACGACCACACACACCACACAATACCAGGACTTGTGTGGTACAGTGGTAGGACCTCTGTGGTACAGTGGCAGGACCTGTGTGGTACAGGTTCTTATCGCCTGTCTGCCTCTAGAATATAGCATTAAAATACAAATACTGGGAAAGCGGGAGTGAAGAGCTAGAGCCCGACGCGGCTAACACGGACAGGAAGCCACGGAGCAACATTTACAAGAACGTGAAGGTCCTTCCACCTCCCTCCCAGACTGTCGTTCTTAACTCTAAAACTAAATTAGGTGAACAATTGTGTGAGGCTTCAGAGAGAAGTTCCTGGTTAAACTTGTATTAATACTTGTAATACATAATACTAATACATACTTATGTATTATGTATTAATACAAATACATAATTCTTGTATTATACTTCTCTACCGAAGTTACAAGAGAAGAGCGAGAACGGAAAGGAGAAGCAGATGGTCAGGAAATAAAACGAGGAGAAGGGGGAGGAAAAAATCAATAATAAGATCTAGGAAGAGGAAGTAATTAAGACGAAGCAGCGTGAGGGAGGCGTCCCCCGGCGGAGCCTCGGGCGGGCGGTGCCCGCGCCGCTCCTGACCGCTCTTCTGTAAATATCTCATTCATTAGTGTTCTCCTCACGTTACTGTGCCTGGAGCTGGTCCAGAGTACCTCCTTCCTTCTCCCTCCATCCCTCCCTCCCTCCCTCCCTCCCTCCCTCCCTCCCTCTCCTCTCTCTCTCTCTCTCTCTCTCTCTCTCTCTCTCTCTCTCTCTCTCTCTCTAGGATGTGTTGGGGAATGTTGATGTATTGCCCATCACAACACACCACTTAGACCTGGATAATTTTAGAAAGAGTAGGATCTATTACACAATTTGTTTATAAATAGAAAGAGGTGACACATGGTTTGCTTGGTACATTACAGTGTAGGAAGATGATGTTCATTCTTCCTATTGGGAGGTGTTGTATATGCTGCTATGGCGGTGTGTCCACTCACAGGATGAGTGGCGCTCCCCAATAAACTCGCCCCTCGGAGCAAAATTCAATTCATTTAGCAGAGTGTGAGGAGCAAACAGAGTCCTGCATCAGACAAGGAGGAAGACCTGGCAGCTGTCAACTGTAACTCTACTGTCAAGAGACTAACATGAGCGCCTCATGGCACACTGACCAACCATAGCATCCTAGACATGGTCGAGTGTTGAGGAACACGTCGTTATCGTGTTCACCAGCCTGGGGAACATGATAACCACCTACAAGATTCTAACTGACCACGTAGACAAATAAGACAAGCAGAAAGTGAGGTACACAATAACGAGGAGACTTAGTAGAAAGGAATAAACACAAAAATTTCAGAGAAAGAAGAATTTCCTCATCACAAAGTGTACAAATGGGATGGTTGAAGAAAACTCAATATGTAAATATAAGAAAAATGAGAGAATATCAAGTGCGTTAAACGGCTCACGACTCAAAAGGGGAAGTTTAGGCGTCGACGTTCAACGCTGCAAAAGAATCAAAGTAAAACACACACATTGCTGTGTGTGTTTTACTAGTCTGTATAGTAGAGGCTTGATACTAGAGAATGTATAGAGAGATAAATAAAGTATCAAGAAGACTGTAAACATTGAAAGAACATAAAATTAAGAGCGGGAGCTCGAGACAAACATGGCTAATGGAATTCAATACAGAGAAGTGTCATGCAATGGAGCAGGGGATGAGTGATAACAGACGTCGTATACAGACTGAAAGACAGACACTAAACACACCTGAGAGAGAAGCACGAGGCAGTAACACCAGCCAGCGTCCGTACTACAGACCTCCGTCTTAAGACACTATATCAAGCACCAAGGCTTGATATAGTGTCTCCCGTCACCTCCAACTTGCCATTCACTATACGGACGGTAAAACAATAATAGAGTATTCTCACCACTAGTGAGTCTACGTTGGCATACACAGCGGAGGTGTGGTGGCCTCGCCTCGACAAACATCTACAAGTCAACGAGAGAGCAGAGCCATGCTAATGGATGCCAGAACTGAAGGACATGAGCTACATACGACAGAACTTGCCCCACAGGAAGACGGGCGGAAAGGTTGACTATTTACAAGCGGGATAACATGAAGGATCACGGAAGATTGCATCACTCGGGCTATACGTGCAAGCAAACGCAAACAAAAACACTTTAATAAGTAAACAAAAGATGTAAGAGAGATGTGAAAAGGTAAATCTTCTGAAGTCAAATGGCGAAGGACTGCGCCACACTGCACAATGTGATGGTGTGTGCAAGAGACAGACAAAACCTCCAAAGATGTGATAAATTAGTAATGGAACATGCACATCTACGAGCTCCAGCTCTGTCTGTTTTATCAGCCATTAAGACATCAATCATTCATGGCGATGACAAATACACATGTCCAGTCACCTCACTAAGTCAATAAACACGTACACGTGTCCAGTCAGCTGACCATGTAAACAAACACGTACACGTGACCAGTCAGCTGACCATGTCAACAAACACGTACACGTGTCCAGTCAGCTGACCATGTCAACAAACACGTACACGTTACCAGTCAGCAGCAGACCATGTCAACAAACACGTACATGTAACCAGTCAGCTGACCATGTCAACAAACACGTACACGCGACCAGTCAGCTGACCATGTCAACAAACGCGTTCACGTGTCCAGTCAGCTGACCATGTCAACAAACACGTACACGCGACCAGTCAGCTGACCATGTCAACAAACGCGTTCACGTGTCCAGTCAGCTGACCATGTCAACAAACGCGTTCACGTGTCCAGTCAGCTGACCATGTCAACAAACACGTACACGTGACCAGTCAGCTGACCATGTCAACAAACACGTACACGTGACCAGTCAGCTGACCGTGTCAACAAACATCCCTGGCCATGAGAGTGACGTGTTCGCGTGAGGTATGTGAGGAGAAGGAATGAAAGGAGGAAACGAGCGGAGTGAGTGGGAGAATGGTAGGAATGAGAAGAGAGAAGGGGGAGGGAACCAAAGGAAGGAAGATAAGGAAAGGAATGATTTATGTGAAAGGCAACAGAGTTCTCAGATATGGGAAATCTTGAGGTTATCTTGAGATGATTTCCGGCCTTAGCGTCCCCGAGGCCCGGTCCTCGACCAGGGCCTGCTTTTTGTTACACACACCCGCAGGAAGCAGCCCGTAGCAGCTGTCTAACTCCCAGGTACCTATTTACTGCTAGATAACAGGGGCATCAGAGTGAAAGAAACTCTGCCCATTTGTTTCCGCCTCCACCGGGGATCGAACCCGGAACCTCAGGACTACGAATCCGAAGCGCTGTTCTCTCAGCTGTCAGGTCCCTAGGGAAGAAGAGGTTTAGATCTAAGAGAAGCATGAGGGGGGGGGTGAGTGAAGTATGAGGGGAGAGTGTGAGAGAAATGCTGCCAAAGATTAAAAAAGTTAATTATGTATGTTTGATTAAACTAAGCTTTAAGATATAATAATAACACGCAGAAATAATAATAATAATAAGAATAATTAATATCACAATACCTGCCTAACCTTCAACACTGAAGTGTTAATGTCAGGTAATGTTGTGGAAGAACCCAGAGACTACCAACACCAGAATACTTTAAACAATTATTCTCTCTCTCTCTCTCTCTCTCTCTCTCTCTCTCTCTCTCTCTGGCTACTTCACCACTTGGGGATGGACGGTAGAGTGACGGTCTCACGTCATGCAGGTCAGCATTCAATCCCCGACCGTTTAAGTGGTTGGACATCATTCCTTCCCCCCTCGCCCCATCCCAAATCCTTACCCCAGACCCGTCCCGCAGTGTTATACAGTCGTGATGGCTTGGCTCTTCCTCCCGCCAGACCCCTTGCTTGCCCCCCGCAGGCAAGACACACACACGGGCCAGGTCCGGTGCACCAAGTAAGGGCAGAGTGATCAGCATATTGCAAATCAGTGGCCAAGTTGAGGTGGGGGTTACTGCTGGGTAGAGGTCAGGGGATTGGCAGTGTGCCGATGCGTTTAAAGGGCCCGCTGGTCAGGCAGGACAAGCTGCAGGTAGCTGTTTGTTGACAGCCTGTAGTCCACACCTGCCTGTAGTCCACACCTGCCTGTAGTCCACACCTGCCTGTAGTCAACACCTGCCTGTATAGTCAGCACCTGCCTGTAGTCAACACCTGCCTGTAGTCATATATATATAATGTTTTCGTCTGTCAATCGTGGCTCTTCTGTCCAAGTCTATTCCAAGTCTGTGTCAAAAGCTTTTCTTGTGCAAATAATCATTGACATACACGTCTGTCTCATGTTGTCTTTCTGTCTATTAGTTGCGTGTTCATGCTTCTGTTTGTTTTATTTGTGTGACTGTCAAGTGCCACTCATCCGTATGACAGGTGCTGCTTGTGCATCTGTCAGTGGTTGTTGGTGCATCTCTCAGTTGGATTGTCAGTCACTGTTCATGGGACTGTCAGTGACTCTTCATGGGACTGTCAGTCACTGTTCATAGGACTGTACGACAAGAACTATACCAGGGTGTGCCAGTTTTGCTTGTGTGTGTGTGTACAAGTGTGTGGTTGTTCGCTTGTTCGACATTGTTAGTGTTTCTGGCAGTTGGTGAGGGGAGTTACCAGCTGCTAGTGTGTGACAGAGGCTGACAGAGGTTAACGGAGGCTGACAGGTTAACGGAGGCTGACAGAGGCTGACGGAGAGAGTGGCCGGCTGACAGGATGACGCAGGCGGAGGCGGGGAGGTGGTGCAGGGGTTTCCCAAGGTCAGACTTACAGCACTGTAACATTACTTGCCTGCCCCTCTCTCTCTCTCTCTCTGTCTCTCTGTCTCTCTGTCTCTCTCTCTCTCTGTCTCTGTCTCTGTCTCTGTCTCTCTCTCTCTCTCTCTCTCTCTCTCTCTCTCTCTCTCTCTCTCTCTCTCTCTCTCTCTCTCTCTCTCTCTCTCTCTCTCTCTTCTCTCTCTCTCTCTCTCTCTCTTTTCCCGCCTGACACTCTCTTTCTCTCCTCCCCCCACACCTTTTATCTCTCTCTCATCTCCTCTCTCTATATATATCTCTCTGTCTCTGTGTCTCCTTCCTGAGGGTGAAGGAGGCTGCCTGCTCTTGCCACACAGGAAACAATTATATCTCGCCCCAGAGCTCAGTACCTCAGGTGCTGTAAGACACAAACACTCCAGCTTATTCCCACGGAAACACTACTCCCTCGACCCCACTAACCCACACTACTCCCCACCTCACCCTAGACGATCATCCTACATCAACATTACCCATAATAATACCGTATCATCAACAATTTTAATGTTAATAATATTACAATTTACAATATCTCTATTCATACCCACGGCTCCAAAAATCTAATTTATTAACGATCAAATTGGTTCATAGGGAGATTAGACATAGCCGAAGGACTACATATCAAGCACTCACCCAACTCTGGTAATATCCTCACACATGTATATATGTCAATACTTTTTGGACAGAATATTGTATAATTTTTTTTATTTTTTTTTTACGAATCTCTGTAACAGTAACTTAAATAAGTTAGAATGACAAGCGTTATCCTACGACCTGTGGTGATACGACCAGTGACCACCACGACCTGTGGTGATACGACCAGTGATCCCACGACCAGTGGTGATACGACCAGTGACCCCACGACCTGTGGTGATACGACCTGTGGTGATACGACCAGTGATCCCCACGACCTGTGGTGATACGACCAGTGATCCCACGACCTGTGGTGATACGACCAGTGACCCTACGACCTGTGGTGATACGACCTGTGGTGATACGACCAGTGATCCCCACGACCTGTGGTGATACTCTTGATAAAGTGATAAAAGTCACTCTTAAAGCTGCGACCATTACACCTTCGTTATCATTCTCGCGTCTTGATCTCTGTTATCGACCAAACGATAACAGCCTCTTCCGCTATCCTCTCAGGCCACGCCCCCACGATCTCACCATCCGCCCAGGGTCGCCCCACTATCTCACTATCACAGTAGTCACCATCAGCTCCGGTATCACACCAGCCTTCATCTCCCACAAAACACGCAGCAAAAACCGGAACTTCGGAACTTGTTGTGTAAACATTGTCTACTGCGGTTGACAGTCCGCGTGTGTCCGGGGAACCGGTTCTGCGTCCAGTACATGTTGTGAACGGGTTCACTGCGTCACGTGAGTGGACTTAAGCACCTGGATCCGAATTCACGAAACAGTTACGCAAGTATTTACGAACCTGTACATCCTTCCTCAGTCTTTGACGGCTTTGGTTACATTTATTAAACAGTTTACTTGCATGAAAACTTGCCAATCAACTGTTGTTATCGTTATAAACAGCCTCCTGGTGCTTCGGAGCTCATTAACTGTTTAATAATTGTAAACAAAGCCGCCAGAAAATGAGAAAAGATGGACAGGGGCCAGATTCACGAAAGCACTTACGAATCTGTCCATCTTTTCTCAATCTTTGGCGGCTTTGTTTACAATTATTAAACAGTTAATGAGCTCTGAAGCATCAGGAAGCTGTTTATAACAATAACAACAGTTGAATGGGAAGTTTTCATCCCTGTAAACTGTTTAATAAATGTAACCAAAGCCGTCAAAGATTGAGGAAAGATGTACACGTTCGTAAGTGCTTGCGTAAGTGCTTTCGTGAATCTGACCCCAGGTTCGTAAGTGCTTGCGTAACTGCTTCGTGAATATGGCCCCTGTTGGGTTGTTTAGCACCTTGAGAGATGTTGGGGTTATAGAGCGAAGTGGGACACGTGAGATAACTTGAGCCGTGAGTGAGAAATCTGTGCGTGGTGGCGGTGAGGAAGAGGCCTTGCTATAGGCCGGGCGCCCCTTGTGGTCCTCACCTTCCTCATCCTGTCTCCGGCAGCTGTTGTGCTGCTGCTGCTGCTGCTGCTGCCTCTGTCACACCACACTCGGTCTCCTGTCTCTCCAGCAGGTGCTTTACTGTCCGCTGCGCCCTCCACTTCACCAGAGCGGCGGCGCTCAAGTGCTGTCTGCTGCCGTCTGCGCTCGTCTGGTGTGCCAGCGACCGCCGCGCACCGCAGACGGCAGGGAAGATCCGGCTCCGATAATTAGGGATAATTTACGAGCTGTGTGCTTCTGGTTTAATTTTATTAGTTTACAAGATCCTCTTTACCGCAGCGGCTCGTTTGAGTCGCCGCCCCTGGGGTAGGGGCCGGCGCCCCCAGGAGAAGCCGTAGGATGGGGTGAAGGCCCCTGGGGGATAGGGAGAGGAGGGGACGGGGGTTAGGGAAGGGGGCGTGACTATCTTGTCACGGAACTGCTTCTACACTTACGCTCTCGTACCTAATTACTTAATTTCTTGTAAAACATCCCGTCCGGTCCTACCCCCTCCCGCCTCCTCCTCTCACTCCCTCTCTCCCCCACCCGTCCCCCTCTCACTCCCTCTCTCCCTCCACCCGTCCCCCTCTCACTCCCTCTCCCTCTCCACTCGTAATCCCCCCAGTCCAGCGTGCTGACTGGACAGCACGCTGTACACGTAATCCTATAGTCCGGGGTTCTATTCTAGGCGCGGGCAAGAAACAATGAGCTGAGTTTCTTTCACCCTGATGCCCCTGTTACCCAGCAGTAAATAGTTACCAGGGAGTTAATTGTTACGAGGTGCTTCCTGGTGGTGAGTGAAAAAAAACACACAATTATTAATAGTTAAAAAATAGTTTGAAGTTAGTAACAGATGATTGATTGAGAGTTGAGAGGCGGGCCGAAAGAGCAGAGCTCAACCCCCGCAAGAACAACTAGGTGAATACAACTAGGTGAGTACAGAGGTGTAGGCCTGACTCACGAGGCTGGACCACGTGTTGGTCGTTGTGTCACATGGTGTATCAGGTGGCCCACTCTGCTACCACTGTGTTTACTTCAGCTGCTGTTACTGCTGCTGCTGCTGCTGCTGCTGCTGGTGCTGCTGCTGCTGGTGCTACTGCTGGTGCTGCTGGTGCTGCTACTGCTGGTGCTGCTACTGCTGCTACTACTGCTGCTACTACTGCTGCTGCTGCTGCTGGTGCTGCTGCTGCTGCTACTGCTGGTGCTGCTACTGCTGCTACTACTGCTGCTACTACTGCTACTACTGCTGCTACTACTGCTGCTACTACTGCTGCTGCTGCTGCTGCTGCTGTTGCTACTGCTGCTGCTGTTGCTGCTGCTGCTGCTGCTGCTGGTGCTACTGCTGCTGCTACTGCTGCTGCTACTGCTACTACTGCTGCTACTACTGCTGCTGCTGCTGCTACTGCTACTGATGCTGCTGCTGCTAATGCTGCTGATGCTGCTGCTGCTGCTACTGCTGCTACTACTGCTGCTACTGCTACTGCTACTGCTGCTGCTACTGCTGCTGCTACTGCTGCTGCTGCTACTACTGCTGCTGCTACTGCTGCTACTGCTGCTACTGCTGCTACTGCTGCTGCTGCTGCTACTGCTACTGTTGCTGCTGCTGCTACTGCTACTGCTGCTGCTACTGCTACTGCTACTGCTGCTGCTACTGCTGCTGCTACTGCTGCTGCTGCTGCTACTGCTGCTGCTACTGCTGCTACTGCTGCTGCTGCTGCTGCTGCTGCTACTGCTGCTGCTGCTGCTGCTACTGTTACTGCTGCTACTGTTGCTGCTGCTGCTACTGTTACTGCTGCTACTGCTGCTGCTACTGTTACTGCTGCTACTGCTGCTGCTGCTGCTACTGCTGCTGCTACTATTACTGCTGCTACTGCTGCTGCTGCTACTGCTGCTGCTGCTACTGTTGCTGCTACTGTTACTGCTGCTGTTACTGCTGCTGCTACTGCTGCTGCTACTGCTGCTGCTGCTACTGTTACTGCTGCTACTGTTGCTGCTGCTGCTACTGTTACTGCTGCTACTGCTACTGTTACTGCTGCTACTGCTGCTGCTACTGTTACTGCTGCTACTGCTGCTGCTGCTACTGTTGCTGCTACTGTTACTGCTGCTACTGCTACTGTTACTGCTGCTGCTGTTACTGCTGCTGCTACTGCTGCTGCTACTGTTTCCGCTATTGTTTTACTTTTTGCCATTTGTTAAATGAACGCGGGAAACATTGTTTTGTATACTGTAATCTTGCGTGACATAGATAGATTATCTCTTTCTCCATCTCCTTGAAGTTATCTTGAGGTTATCTTGAGATGATTTCGGGGCTTACCGCTCCCGCGGCCCGGTCCTCGACCAAGCCTCTTTTTTGTTACATCCGTAGGAACTACAACTTAAGTGTTGCCAGGTGTGGTGGCACTATACCCGCCAGGTGTGGTGGCACTATACCCGCCAGGTGTGGTGGCACTATACCCGCCAGGTGTGGTGGCACTATACCCGCCAGGTGTGGTGGGGTCCCCTCTTTACAATGACCAAGGTGGGTGGCACAGCGCAGCACTCCGCGTCTGTCTGCGGTTTTCTGACCGTTTGTCTGCTTCTGCTGTGTCGTTTTCTGTGCCTGTCTGTGTTTTATGTTTTTTCTGTGTGGTTTCTTGCTTCTCCCTTTGCTGAAGTGCACCCTGTCCCTCTACCTGCGTTCTCTCTGTTTATCTGTTCGTCTGTTAGTGTCTGTTTCTGTCTATATGTCTGTGTCTCTTTTTCATTCTGTCTCTATAACTGTCTCTGCTTGCCTGGCTGCTCCCCCTCCCCTCCTTTACTTCATAGTACAATGAATAAAGTATTTCTGCAAATTTTCCAGATATCAGTGCATAATGTTTTTAATTACTATAATACAAAAAAATCAAATTTGTCAAAGTCTTTACGAAAAGGGAATCTTGTGCTGCTGCCAAAATGGTCTTGGGGGTGCGGGGGGGGGAGGCAGGGTCACAGTGGCACTATGTTCCCTCCTGAATTCTGGCAGTCTAAATCCGACCATGATGGGCACATACCCGACTGGAATCAATTTTGCAAAGCTGGGTGAGGCTAGATCCATTAACCGTTTGGCCTCCAGCCTCAGCCTGACAGACATTCTAATTGATAGATATCGATATATAGGTACATCAATTAGAATGTGTGTGTGTGTGTGTGTGTGTGTGTGTGTGTGTGTGTGTGTGTGTGTGTGTGTGTGTGTCCAAGGCTGGGGCCGAGGCACTGGAGGCTAGACGGACTACTACCGTCGTCGCGTCCCCTCTCCTAACCTTCCCGCCATAGCCCAAGGTCTTGCGGCCGGTCACTGTTCTCCAACACCAGCCACAGATAGACACAGATGAGAGGGAGTGTGCAAGAGAGAGAGAGAGAGAGAGAGAGAGAGAGAGAGAGAGAGAGAGAGAGAGAGAGAGAGAGAGAGAGAGAGAGAGAGAGAGAGAGAGAGAGAGAGAGAGAGAGAGAGAGAGAGAGAGAGATATACAGACGAAGGCACTGCCATGTACTCCATATTATATATATATATATATATCTCTCTCAGAACAGACGAAAAAGTTGAAAACTCTATGGAAATAAAACCAGAATTTCAAACAACTTAGGAGCCTATACCCTTCTTATAGGAGATCAATGGGGCTCAACCCTACCATCCTATAACAGTCCTCTACCACCCATGTGTCATCCTGAAAAGTAGAATGAGAGGAGCCCGAAGCGTCTGGTCTTCAACCTTGGACAGACAAAATCAAGACTTTCAACTTTATACATATTGATACTAAAATGGGTACCCGGCACTGGCCGGGTCTCTATCAGTCTGTCTCTCTCTCTCTCTCTCTCTCTCTCTATCAGTCTCTCTCTCTCTCTCTCTCTCTCTCAATCTCTCTCTCTCTCTCTCTCTCTCTCTCTCCTTCTCTCCCCAGACATTTCATCACCACCAGTAGGCCCTGATGGCTCCTGTGTCGTCATGGTTGACGAGAAATTCCAAACGCTTTCGCTAGAGATCAGAAACTGGACGCCGCTTACCTGACCACCCGACACATCTGACCTTATCTTCCGCACACCTGTCACACGGCCACTTTCCTTTCACCTCTTTTTATGCACACCTGACGCGGTGCTTATTTTCCTGATGCAGGTTTGTTACACACCTGGTACACTGCCAGGAGAGAGATCCTGTTGACGGTGATCCTGTTAAGCGGGATTGAAAAAAAAAGTGAGCTTACGTCGGACGATGACCAGCCGTGGTCTGGTCTGCCCCACACGGGACGATGACCAGCCGTGGTCTGGTCTGCTCCACACGGGACGATGACCAGCCGTGGTCTGGTCTGCCACACACGGGACGATGACCAGCCGTGGTTTGGTCTGCCACACACGGGACGATGACCAGCCGTGGTTTGGTCTGCCACACACGGGACGATGACCAGCCGTGGTTTGGTCTGCCACACACGGGACGATGACCAGCCGTGGTCTGGTCTGCCACACACGGGACGATGACCAGCCGTGGTTTGGTCTGCCACACACGGGACGATGACCAGCCGTGGTCTGGTCTGCCACACAAGGGACGATGACCAGCCGTGGTCTGGTCTGCCACACACGGGACGATGACCAGCCGTGGTTTGGTCTGCCACACACGGGACGATGACCAGCCGTGGTCTGGTCTGCCCCACAGACCCTCAGCAACCACACAAGACCCCTCGACCACCACACAAGACCCTCAACCACCACACAAGACCCTCAACCACCACACAAGACCCTCAACAACCACACAAAAACAGCAGCAGCCACACAAGACAGTAACATAAAAACCTTGTACAAGATATGAAGCGAGTTTTTAACAGCACAAACACCACCAAAGAACGAATGAGAGAGCAGAGGTGTAAAAACGAAAAGGGCGCAAAGATCCCAAAGAAATAAGATCAAAGGAACAAGGTGTTATTAATTTCAGTACAACTGAAAGGGTTTGGATTTGGCTTAGTTTGTTATGATACCTGGCGCCAGATTCACGAAAGCAGTTACGCAAACACTTACGAACCTGTACATCTTTTCTCAATCTTCGGCGACTTTGTTTCCAATTATTAAACAGTTAATGAGCTCCGAAGCACCAGGAGGCTGTTTATAACAATAACACCAGTTGACTGGCAAGTTTTCATGCTTGTAAACTGTTTAATAAATGTAACCAAAGGCGTCAAAGATTCAGGAAAGATGTAC